TTTGTAAATATAATCCAACTGAAAATAAAATTCAGAAGATTGAAAGGAACCTGACTCGATCGTGATTTTTTCTGAAACGCGTTCTCCTTTTTTATTTTTGTATTCTTTGATTATGATAATTTCTGTAATAGTTAAACGTTCTTGAACGGAGTGAACGATGTAAATCCTTCTTGCGATTTATTTCTACACGGAATGTATCTTATTACTGTTCCTTATCTACACCGATGATTACGACGATTTCAAGGAGACAAGAGAGATAGCGCGATATACAGAGATATAGAGATAGAGAAAGAGAGCTCATTGGCAAATATTAAGTAATCAAAGCCACCGAGGTAGAATTAATTCGCAATTAAAATTACAATTGTAGATTTTACGACTCGTCCTGCAGTTCTATCTACGGGCGCGCGAGAGAGTCGCGTTATAAGTAGAGTATAAACATCAATTATCGCATATGCTTAGAAATCATTGGTACAAGGTAGTTATTATCTTATGGCATCGACGTGCAACGCGCACTTGTTCGTAAACCATGACAAATTTCGTAACGCCATTTAGATAATTATACATAATTACTACGCTTATGTACATGTTAATCATTCGGTTTCCAACGGTACAACCGGATCTCCTACTCCATTTTTGCGATATATGTAGATTGACGAAGAAATGAACGAGGCTCATCGTCGTCAACGTCACATTGTAACCTACATTTAATCTCATAATATTAAAAGAACAACATTTTTTTGCACATGTGCATTCCGATGTGCAATAAATATACTATTTTTGGATAGTTTGTCGCAAAAAGATATTAATAAAACATATAATCGAAGTAATCGTGCAAGTCGATCGAAGTCGTTAGACGTTGCTCAAGTTTTACACCGCTCTCGACACTTGTAACTCCAACGAATTCATAGGACTCGGATAATCTCTCATGGGATGAGAGACAGAGATGTGTTGCAACGCTAGATGTACGGATTACATCGAAATAGCCAAGTTTCTCCTCAAATTACTTCACGTCCCAATGAATCAATCAAGTACGCGGTATTTATTAAAGTGAAGGCACCGCGTCGCTCATCGGCACGATTATGCAGATTCTTGGACGGCATAGAAAGAGAGAGAGAGAAGTCTCGGTGCAATATTTTAATTTCTCTTCCTTTTTCTCCCGGCGGGAATATCAGCTGTGCCTCTCTCCGTGTCTGGAATACATGGAGGCTTCAGCTTTGACGTTTGCGGCAAATATTGTAATAATGCAATTTACAGCGCTCGCTCGCTTGCAACGGATCCTCCGATGCGGGCAAACCTCCTCTCTACCCGTATTATTGCCGTCTAGAGTCGGCGCAGAGGCTGCACCTGCGCGACCCTCGGTGCACTTTACGTATGCGCCGCTTTTATCGAGCATTATTTATTTCCATCTTCCTCCTTTTTTTTTTAGAACATGCGACGCCGAGCACGTGCATCATCCCGCGTCAAAATTTCGCTCCAATTTTAATGGCGCATCTTTTTTTTACCTTTACTGGACTTTCGAGGATCTCGATAGAGGTTTCATTTATTTAGGTGCGAGAGATTTTATATATTTAAATCTTTTTTTAAACAAGCACAGAACATTTTAATTATTAAATATTTTGTTCATTAAAATAATCACCTTGACAACACTTTCCCAACGAGATAAAAAAATAAATTCCGCTTTTATAAAATTGTTGTATCTAAAAGTAAGTTCAGGTTTAATCTCTATTTTATTCTAAAATTGTAATCTATTTCAAATGTGACAGTCTAGTTCTGTTACCGCATCTTCTTCAAATGCCGTACATATCTTACGATAGGCTCTTAAATTTATAAAGCAAATACGTCCGAATTGTACCAAATTCGACTGACATTTTAGATGGCTTCAAGTTCACAAAAAAGAGTAGACACCAAAGTTTAAAATTGATGTATATGCACTTTATGGTGCACATAAAAGTTTATGTTTTGCAAATTACTACAAAAATAATAAAATAATTTCTTGCAGTGAAATTCAGCTCCTATTTTTCCGAAAAAGAACCAGAAAACTATAATTTAAATAATTTCGAAGAAAACTAAAACGACTACTTAAAGCATCAAAGTAAAAATGTTAGGTCAAAAATGAAGATTGAAAATAAAAGAAAAACTTTGGGATCCCCATCTTTGGGAAACAAAATTATAATGTCTATACCGGAAGTGTCCGAGAAGTGTAATACCACCCAGGTATCCAAGTACGACAAGTTTTACGAGAAAATCAATATTTTACGAGAAAATCAATATTTTACGAGAGAATCAATATTTTTTTTAATTTTTAATGTCATAAAAAATGAACAAAATTGTCTCAAAGTCCGATTTTCCTATTTTTTTTCTGTTCAACATGTCAATTTGTTGAATGTAACGTTATTGCAATCTGTTTGCACGATACATTCCACGATTTGCATTGTACGCAAAATGAATTATTTTTTGCTTCATATTTAATTCTAATATAAATTAAACGGCATCGTTAATGGAGCCATTCAAACGATTTCCGATAAATTCACCGGCGAGCGAAATTCCGACGCGCATCAGGATCAAGTGGAGGAAAAACTCAAACGAAACGCGCGGCTGAATATTCATCGCAGACCAACTAGAATTTTAATTACCGCCTATCTAATTTAACCCGACAACCAACACATAATATATCTTTATAATGCCGTATCGTCCGGCGTTTTGTTAACATTAATGTTATCCCGCATATTTTAACAGCGTATTTTAATATTGTGTGTGTTCACCGAGCGATTGTTATACAAACATGAATTTATGCGAGCACTGTGATACTAGTTAGTCATATGTTTTTCATGTAAATTTTGTCGATGTTTGCATCATTTTTTTCTCTCGTCTATTCTTAAATGATATATATTTATAGTCAACACTTAATTTTCTATCAACTTTCTTGTACATTAATCATACACGAGAATTATAGCAAATTAATTAAAAAGACTATAATTAGTTACTTCTTATAAATATTTATTTCAATACTGTCGAATAAATCATTTATTTAAAATTAATAATATAATATTTATTTGATATAAGAAAATCCTTTTCAAAACAAATAAATATTTATTTATTTTAAATCAATGATTTATTTGAACTAAATATGTGTTAATTTAACAATTTTTTTCAGTATATGATACTATATTATAAGAAAAATTATAATATACGAATAAAATAATAAAAGACGCATTTTATAGGTCTAACAATAAAGTTCTTTATATCACAGTACGCATATTAAAATTATACCTCGCGATTTTTCTTCTTTATATATATATATATATATATATATATATATACAAAGAGTAGGATAAATCCGATTAACGAGATAACGCTGACATAGTTGGAGGTATTAAAGCTGAAAACCGGACGGAAACTCGTTTTCAGTCAACGTCGGGGCAAACAAGTATTTACACATTTCAACCTCACAATATCTTTTTATTATTAATTACCGAACACTTTCTTGTTATTCTGCTTACATTTGCAGTCGACGAATTGCGTGTAATTCAGCCAGGAATGCAAATAGTTGAGATACATTTATGCATCCGATATATTTATATATGTATATATATATATCAATCTAAGATTACTGACTTGGGAAACGCAAGAATTCCTACTTCTACGCTTATTTACTCGATCCCCATAAGCCCATAATAACATCCTACGCGCAAAATTACATTTTTACGCATCGCAGAAAAAGGAAACTTATCAGTTAAGTCTGCGCGTGACTTCTCTTAATTACTAATTCCGTTCGGAAAATCCGCGAATGAGCATCAGCGTAAAAACAGCCATTATCTCATTAAGTTAAGGATATTGACGTTGATGAAGAAGAAATCTGTTTGCAAATAACCGCGAGTGCAGATCTCGCTTATTCTCTCCAAGAACCATCGACAGAAATATCGAAGATAATTAATCGCTCTACACGAGTAATGAATTAATCAATTATTTCCTTTTTTTTCAGAAAAGCATAATGCAAATATTCACTTAGAATTTTTCCGCATCGATCGGTCGTATTTTTTATCCACGCGCTAATAAATTAAACTAATGATATAAATATAAATTAATAATAATAAATTAAGCTAATAAACATAAATAAATAAATAAAACACGCCATGAAAATGAGAGGGAAGGAGAGAAGATATAATTTGAGTTCACACTCGAAACATTTAACGCTAAATGTTAAATGATCTCCCGTGGGTATCGTTTCAAATAAAACAGCTGTTTTCGTATTTGACGTAAATTACGTTTCTCGCAATTAAATTATTGAGATCGGGAGTGGCGCGTCAGATGAGAATTCGACGATCGTTATTATTAACGTTATTATTAAGTTCCAGCATTATAGAACGCGAGAAGTCCCTTCCCATCACGCGCTCGAGCGACGGCCGTCGCTGAGTTTCCGCAGGCTCTAGCCTATCTAAGGCAGGTGCGCGTCTCTCTAAGGCGATCTCGCTTTCTTCGGGCGAGCTCGCGCGAATGTTAATTGTGCGCTATTATTGGCAACGACCAGTCGCGTGGAATTCCGCTTCTGCGATCGCTCCTCGTTTTGCGCGCGCGCGCACGAGAGAAAAAGAGAGATAGAGAAAGTGAGAGAGAGACCTTGTCTCTCTTCGCTAGACAAGTTACTTACGTAACTTACGCGATTACGTACGTTTTAATGAAAAATACAATGAAAACACATCAATACCCTCTCGTCCCTAACAGAATTCACATATTTGAAAGACGGACATCCAGAGAATATTCGAATGTCCCTGGATATCCTCTGGATATCCTCTGAACGTTTTTTGGATATGTTGTGCTGTTAGGGGTATATCTGATATGTTTATAAAATACACATTTGGAGCAAATGATTAAATGAACTTTTTTACGTCTCCTTTTGTCCCTCTCTAAATTATTCAATAAATATAAAAACAATAAGCGTGATCAAATGTTGAGTGCATCGAGCGTGATTTGTAATGATTAATGCTTAATAAGTGACTTACCTGGGACGCCGACGGATACGAGTATCCAAATTGCGCGTACGCTGACATGTCTAGAGTTTACGGACGTTGATGAACGTGAATGAAGCTGTCTTCTCCCTTTTCTCGCGAAACGCAGCCCGATCTCGTACCTGCACACACTGCACTCTTTTTCTCTTTCTCTCTCTCTCGCTCTCTCTCTTTCTCTCTTTCTCTCTTTCTCTCTTTCGCTCTCCCTTGCTTTCCTTCACTAGGTCTATGAGTTGCGCGACGTTAAACGGAGTAACGAGACATCAGGCTGCGCCCAAGTCCTGGTCGGTCGTGACCGACCTCATGACGCACGTTTTTCTCTCCTCCAGCGAGCACACGATTATTCATCAACGAGAGACGTCATCGCGCACTTCAAAATCCCGAGTTCCCGCTGGACGTTCAAACGAGGGAGGCGCGAGATCATCAGCGGCGATCCGCGGCAGCGCTTCCTCTGGTCGCGAAAACACGGTACGGTTCGCGGCACGTCATGAAAACAGCTGGCACGGGTGACACCGACGGGACGACGCGAGATCGGGACCACGACACCGGGTGAGAAGACACGGGACGGACATTCGGACAGACGGTCATTCGTTTCACGCGAGCGAGCGAGCGATGCGAGGCCGTTGTTTCACACGAACGCGCGTTCAGCAGGATATATAGTGGAGTAAAAGTTCTCTCGTTCGTTCGTTCGGTCCGGCCCCTGCTCTCACAGGGCACTCCAGTCTGCGACTGACTCGGCACCACTCACACCACTTCAGCGGGCTTCTCCGGCTCCTCTCTCTCTTTCTCCCTCGCTCGCTCGCTCTCTCTTTCTCCGTCGCGACTCCCCCCTCTGGCGAGGAAAACTGAAAGCATCGCGTATCCCCACCAGAGGACAAGTGGGCGGGGACTAGCGCGAAACGCAACCAATCACGGAGTCGCTCGCTAGTCTGTGGGTGGGATCTACGAGCTGCTCAACCGTCCCTGATTGGTTGCGAAAGTTATTTTTTGAACGTATCCATTGACGTCGCGACGCCTTTCCTCCCCTCCCGTCCCACCACTCACCCCCAAAGTGGCGGTGGATCGTCGAACGATCCGGCGTCGCGACGCCCTGCCTCGTCGCCACGGGATGCTGCATCCGATCGCGGCTGAACAAGGAGAAACGAGTGTGTTTACGCGGCTCTACTCTTGTCAACTCGACTCGGCGAGGGACTTGAATAAATCCGCGTTTCTTTCTCTCTCCCTTTCTCTCTTGCCCCTCCTAGCACGCAGGGGAGGAGCGGACTTCTTCCGGCCCGCGAGATCCCAAGATAGTGCGATTGTCAAATGTCAGCGTGGGGAACCAATTTCCCCCTTCGAAGCAACTCGCATCTTAAGGAAAGTCATTTCTCGAAATGCCAGCAGTTGGATTTAAAAAACACATTACATTAGTGTAATTTAAAAAGTTATAATCTCTGGCAATTAGTTCTATAAAGAAGACTCCTAAAATAGTTGATCAAAATCAGAGATTGGATTGGGCTTATCATAAACATTAATCCAAAGTTACAACTCACTTAATTATCAATTTTGAAGAATAAATACTTCCAAAGTTTTGATCGTACTTACTATGATTTATGCTCTTTTATTAATTAATGTGTTGAATAAGCTTAATCAAGTGATCTGCGTACAGCAACGCTTTAGAACTCAGAACACAACAATCTCACCTTCTCCCGGAGTAGTTCTACCTTTTAATGATATAATGTACATATTCGTTTGATAACTCATCAAAATTGTCTCAAGATAACAAATATATATCATTACTATGATCAGAAAGTATCCGCATACCTTTTGAAAGATATTTAATATATTCTAGATACTAAATAATTGATATGATATGAAAATAATAGCCTACAGCATAAATACCAATGCACCTCTATACCAGAAGGCGTAAAGAAATCTGTAGGAAAGGATGAATACAAAAAACAAGAATTCTGAGAGTCATGTTCAATTATAAAATAAAAAATCATCAGTTGATTGCAAACGTATGAGTATAGATAACAAAATGAATACACTTTATACACCAACATTGATGACATTTGAACATTGACCGGCGGATGCTTTGGACATTGATACCTATTTTAAAATCCATAATACCTTGAAATTTAATATATGTCTTATTTCTGGGCTCGGAAGGTCTCAAAACCCCTATAAAAATGGGCAAAGTTCTTTATAAAATTATATTTTTTTATCATGTATCGCGCTCTCTCGAGAGAAGAGTTTACGATAGAGAGGAAAGTAGACAAAACGCGGTCACCCTGTATAATGTCTATGTACCTACGTTTCTGGCGCCGGTGCATAAGCCAAACATTTATTCTGGCCTATTGTTCTCCCATTGAAAATTTCACGAGCGATGGACGCCGAGAAGATTAGCCCGTGGGATTTGCCCCGTACTGTGCAACCTGAATAATTTCACGGGTTATTAGGTCGTACCAATGGGCCGAAACCATTAACCGCGCATGAAATACTTATCCGCTGAATTAGCGTAAGAGATTGCTGCGTTCGCTTATACATACAAGAATTTTCATTGTCGAGGAGAGCTATTCCATAACGCGTTGGCGTTGTGTTCTGTACCATAAGAACTAAATCTAATTTGTCGAATCATTAAATTGTATGTACTGATTTAAAAATTGGAAAGAAATATCTGATAATCAATGATATATTAGCATGTTTAGAACTAACTTGCTTATGAAAAAAATAGCTTTAATAGGATGGTCTTTTCGAAGATAAAGATATTTGGAGAACAAGGACGAAAACAGATAAAAATGGTCGGAAGACAACGAGAAGATATTAGTTGGACGCAATAAGATACCCTTGCTAATAGGATTAACTGACAGGTTGACGAGGTACTCAAGAGACGAGATAAACATCCCTTCGTATCTGCACCCTGGGGGTACGAGGAAACGAACCCTTGATGATTTATTGTTGTGCGTAAACCTGGGTAACCTGCTGATCATGGCCGTATAACGAACATAATCCCAAGCCCATAATACAGAGAAATCTTAAGAAAACTTGTCCCAAAACCGCAGGCTTTTTGTTACATCAGAAAGACCTCAACTCCTACTTGTCACTTTTTAAAGAGTCACGCGCAACATCTAAAGATACATAATTTGTGCTCAATCCTTCGTTTCTTTCTGGAAAATCGTCATTGAATGAAAAACATCATATTCTCACCATGCAAAGTTTGAAGATGTTTTCCAATTTTTCGGCAAATCGGATTGTATTTTAAAAGATACACAACTATTAAGACTTTCTTTTAACTGTTACACTCGTGACTTTCAAGCTTTGTACGTATTTCGAGTCAAAAATTTTCCCTTATTTTTCATTTTCTTTATTAATATTACTTATCCACTGTGATACTTAAAAGTCAAATCACCCTATTTTAAAATTATTTAATCTAGTTTTACTAAAAGCTTCTCTTTTAAATCTCTAAGTGAGAAACTGTTTGCTATCGTATCAATTTTTTTTACACGTTGCACCACTTTTTATTTATTGTTCAACTCAATTATTACGTAAAAACTTTAGAATTGTAACGTAATAATTTGTATCCTTAGAAACTCCTGAAATGCCTATAATTGCACTTTGAAGATTTCATCAAAATCGGTAATTTCTACGTTAAATTAGAATATAGAGCGTGAAGAATGTATAGTTTTTATGGCTTAGTGCATGTTCTTCTTTATTAAGTACACGGTTTGTAGTTTGTAGATGTTGCAGCACAACGCCACATAGTTTATATTACTCAGGAAAATCTGAGCTATTTATCAGTGCGTGATTTTTCCAAATCAGTTCAGTAGTTTCTGAGAGTACCGAATAATGGAACAAACAAACTTTACCTCTTTATATATTAGTATAAATACAGAAAAAGGAAAAGTAGGTTATAAATTACTTTCACTAAAATATTTCAGGAACTATTTTAAAATTTTGAATTTGAAGAAAATGTAATAAAAAATATATGTCTCTTTTTTTTTGAAACATCGAAACTTCTCTAAGAAATTAAAACTTTTCATGCATCTATCTTTTTTTTAAATAGATCGCATATCAGACAAGATTATTAGCCTTTACTTCAGCTTATAAATAACACAGATATTTTTATTAGTAAAAAATATTTTAACACAGAAAAAAATATTGTCTATTCTGATTATGCAATATTGTTCGAATAATTAAATTAGAAGAATTATGCGACGGATGCGGAGATGACAAAATGAAATCTGATGTACGATGTGAAAATATCACTCGATGACTGTGGAATGTCCATTTATTTTGTTGGGCGCAACATTTATGATTATATGAGAACGAAACATCAGTTTTAATATTTTATAATATTTTATAGCATGTAATTATTTTACGAGTTGCATTTCGCAATTCATAAGTTTCTTTTCTTAGACCATCAGCTATTTATTCTGAAATATTTAAAATAATGGAGAAAAGAGGAAAATCTACTTGCTGTTACATAAAACTTTTTTTTAAACAAGGACCTCTCTAAATTCATTCATCCTATTACATTACACTATTGTAATACCTCGACTAGCTTTTACGACAGCTTTACGAGTTTTCTATCGCTCTTTTCGAAAGCAATCCCGACGGCGGAATCATAAAAGCGGATCTAATTCGAATGGCGCGATTCACACCGCGGAGAATAAGACAAAAGATTGTTACGCTCTTTCTCGCCAGAAAGAGAGAGAGACTAATAAGAGGAGAGAGATCCAGACTGCCCTGGCGCCTTCGAGGGGTACCTTCGAGGGGCACCGCAGTTTTATTGGTCAGGAACGCGTTCTTGTAACTCGTCCGTTTTCCTCCTCCACCCTTCTGCGCCGACTTCGTCTTCCTCTTCGGCATGGCCGACCAGCGTGTTGCCGTAAAAAAGCCGGTCCCCCCTTTCTGCCCCCCTCTCAGCCCCCTCGTCTCTGTTCCACCTTCTCTTTTCCCTCTCGACTCTTCACCCTCCGTGGAACGACGAACGAACGACCAACGAAATGTCAACCGTAAACCTCGCGAGGCAACACTAATTAACCCGACCGAAATAAACTGCGGCGGCTCTCGCCCCCGACTCTCTTTCTCCTCCGTTCACGCGGACAGATTCTAGTCTCCTCGGAAAAATATCGGAGCAATCTTCAAACTCTCCGAATCGTACCCCGAAATCATTACAAGAGATCGCAATCCGCGGAAAATCGAACCGAATAAAAAACTTGAAATTTCTTATTTATTATACAGAATGTATCATAAGCCCCATCTCTGCACAGAGAGAATTTTCTTGTAGAATATGCCCATACAGCACCGATAGATTGCAAAAACATTACAACAATCTTTCACCGCAATATTGCAATATTGCAAATTCACTGCAAATGTTGCTACATCATTGCTGTTGAACTGCAGCAATGTTAAAATGTCCGCTTTTTGGAAGATTGCAACAAAATATTACAACAATATTGCAATGTTATGAATTTGCAATAATGCATTGTTATTGCAACCATAAACTAATGTTGCATATACAGGTATATAATGTAAATAAATCATTAATGAAAATACGTTGTAATTAATTTATATATATTACAATATAAAATTATAGAATTTGGATTACATGCAATATTTCCGAAATATTAATGTCATGTTGCTACAAGTGTGCTGGAATTTTGTGCACCTATATCTCTGCAATGTCTTTATAATGTTGCATTGCAACTTGCAACATTGCAACGTTGCTGCAA